CGCCATTACTTTTGACGGGGACTGTAAATTATGATATAGAATCCTTATTCTAAAATATTGATTATTATTAAGTTTATTTTAGAATAAATATTACTTATTATGATTCTAAGTAAAAAATAATATTCACATGATTCAAAAGTTAGTTCGATAATTTTGTTGAAATCTTGAGCTAGGTTGGAAAAGTCCTAATTGGTCCTAATTTGCCTGATTAATTATTAATTTTAAAAGTTTAAAAAAGTTTAAAATAATAACTTTATAATTAAATTTTTTTTTATTTTTAATCTTTTAAGACTTACGGTATTTCTCATGATCACATGATAAACTTTTATATTAATCAAATCTAACCTCTAAAGAGGTTAGTTAATGGAATAAGAGAAAATTATATTTTGATAAGGATAACGATAAGTAGTAAACACTTTTGTTGAGTTTGCAAACCGGCATCGATTGCATCACCGCATTTATTATGGACGTATGTTGAAAAATGGAATGTGATGTTATGCTACTTTGCCCCTTGCATTTAAAGTATTTTTTTGCTCATTGAAACAAATTTATTTATTAACAATAAATTAAATTATTGTATATCACTCTCGTCATCTTGTGGTACATCCACCAATCATAATATAAACGCATTGTATTAGAAATAATTTAATTCAAACCGGTTCAACCAAACGGGTTGAATTTTTGGCTTAGGATTAAAACCAGTTTTTCGAAAACAAAACCGGTTTCAACTCTACCTCTTATAATTTACAATGAACGAACCAGATCAACAAAGTTTATTTTACCTTAAATATTTCTCATAATCGCATGATATTCCAATTAAATTCATCTTCCTTTTTGATCAAATCGAAATGATCTTCCGTTATAAATAATGTCATTTTCCCACTCTTTGGTTTTTTTACGTAGAATAACATTATGGTTGATAACAAAGTGATAAAAATACACAGACAATGGTATCCGATCTTAGGTGAAACAATATCTTTGATTGAACCCTACCATTATGTTAAGCTTAGTAAAATTTTTCCACCTCCAAAATTACCGGCTTCTAGGAAATATGAGACTGTAATCGAAGTTCTTCCTTACATCCGTCAGAAAGTTAAGATGTGGGGAGCTGATGTTCTTAGAGCAGAAAATATTAAAACATTGATCGAGGAAGAAGATGATGTTTCTGATGAAGAGTTTTCTGATGTAGAATCAATGGATGAGGACCAGGA